ATCATATAAAATGCAAGGTATTATCTCTATTTTTTTTATTACCTAAGAGTTGCTTTGTGGCCTAAGATATGATCTATTTTAGAGAAGAATCTGTGTKCGGCTGAGAAGAAAATGTATTCAGTCATTGATGGATGAAATATTCTATATATGTCTGTTAAGTCTAAATTATTAGTTGTGTCTTGGTGTAGGTCTGTTGTGATTTTGTACATTTGGTGTCCTGTGAGCTTCCTGTGTTTGATTTTCCATTTCATCCTTAAGGTTTTAGAAATTTTCAGATATTATTTCATTGAAAAGATTATGCATGCCTTTGGTCTGCATCTTCAGGCCTTCATCTATCCCAATAAATCTTAAATATCATATTTATTAGAATTTCTGTTCATGGTCTATTAACACCTTTCCTTCATGGTCAACTTTATTTTCTAGAATATATATTGTGTCTTCGTTGCCTGAAACTCTGGCTCACAATTYATTTGGTGTGCTGATGATGCCTTCCAATAAATTTTCCATGTGGTTTATTGATTCCTTCATTTTGAGGATTTCTGCTTGGTTGTCCTCCCCCCCAATCTCTCTCTCTTTATTCAAGTAATCTTTTGCTTCCTATATTTTCTTCCTTACATCATCTTTTCCCTCACAGATCARTTTCACTCTGAACATTCTAAACTCCTTCTCTGTCATCTCTTCCACTATTTTGTTGATGGATTCTGTTATTGAATTCTATTAGTTTGTTTGAGGTGTTTTTCTTGTTTGTTTGTTCATTTGTTTGTTTTGGTACCAGGGATTAAATTCAGRAGCACTCAACCAATGAGCCACATCCACCGCCATATTTTGTATTTTATTTAGAAACAGGGTCTTACTGAGTTGCTTAGCACCTTGCTTTTGAAGAGGTTGCCTTTAACTCAGGATCCTTCTGCCTCAGCCTCTCAAGCCACTGGCATTACAAGCATGGGCCACTGTGCCCAGCTTTAAGTGATTTTTTTCAGTGAAGTTGCTTTTTCATGTTGTTTGTGTGTCTGCCCATTTGACAATATGGTTTTGAGTCAGTAGTGATTCAGAAGTTGCCCAGAGGCAACTTTTTTCTGAAATCACTGAACTATATTCCAGCCCTTTCTTTTATTTTTTAAATTTTGATACAGGGTCTCTAAGTTGCCTAGCTTGGCCTGGAATTCAGCAATCCTCCTGTCTCGCCTCCAGAGTTGCTGGGATTTCAGGGCTGCACCTAGTTCCTGGCAGCCCGGGAGTACCTTTATCCTTTCCTTTCCCTTTTAATCTATTTGTGTGTTTATATTTAATGTGGGTTTCTTATACGCAGAATATTGTTGGGTTTGCCTTTTTAAAAATACTCTTACAACCTTTTACTGGTATTTTTACACTACTTACAAGCAATAGAATGTTAAGTTTACCATTTTGCTATTTGTTTTCTGTTTGGACCTTCTATTTTTCTTCCCTATTCCTTTTTCCTCTTCTTTGCTCGTGAATTTTTTACAAGTTGAATATACTTTTGTAATTCCATTTTATCATTGATTTATTATCTCTAGCTCATTGTTCTATTTTAGTGTTTATTTTAGAGTTAGTAGTATCTTGAAATCACAATCTAATTTCAAGTGATTTAGTATACTTCAAGTGTAATGTAAGAACATTACAACAATATTCTTAAATTTATTGCCTCCCAACCTTTGTGCTATTGTTTTGGATTTTTGTTTTTTGTTTGTTTGGTTTTTTTATTTATGCTACATATCCCATAATATCTCAAAGTCATCTATCCTTTGAAGCAATTTAAATAATAATTACTGAGAAAAGGTTATTTTCATCTATCATAATCTCACCATTTCCATTATTCTTTATTCTTTTGTGTAGGACAAATTTCTGTCCATGGCCAGTCTTTTCTCTAGGTTGTTGAACATATGGAATTCAGCTATAATGACAATTATAAATGTTCTTGTCCATTAATATGGTCCTGTAATACTCCCTTTAAGACCTCTTACTGTGCAGTCCTGCTAGTGATGAATTGTTCTGGTTTTTATGTGTTTGTAAAAACTTATATTTTTCCTTTATTTTGCAAATATTCTRATTTTTTAATACTTTATTGATGTCCCCACTGTCTGTATTACTTGTGATGGGAAATCATCTCTTATTCTTATTCTTATATATTGTCTTTTCTTTCCCCTGCTTTTCGGATTTTCCCTGTAACCTTGTTTGTAGTGAATTTGAATATGATACCCTCGATGTCATTTTCATCAGGTTTGTTTTGCTTGAGTTTTGTTGTCCTTCTTGGATTTATGAGTTTATAGTTTTTATCAAATYTGGAAAATTTGGGAGCATTAGCTGTTCCAGGTTTRGGTTTTTTGTTGTTGTTGTCCTTGTTTTTCTTTTTCTTTTTTCCTTTATCTTTGTTAATATTTTCCTTATTTTGAGTTACCATGGCCAGTCTTTTCTTTATATTGTTGAACATATGGAATTCATATAATGATTTAATGACAATTATWAATGTTCTTGTCCATTAATACGGTTCATTTCAATTGTTCAACTTTATTTTTTTTCTTTTATCACAGGTTGTATTCTGCTAGGGTGATTTTGGGGGGCCAAGCCTTATAAACTTCAGTCTGTAGTACATATATTTTTGGGTTCCTATAAATATTCTTGACCTTTATTTTGGGATGCAATTTAGTTACTTGTGAATAACTTGACCCATTTAGGTCTTGCTTTTAAGCTTTGTTAAGTGAAACAGAACAGTGTTTAGTCTATTGCTAATCTTGCCCTTAGCTAAGTCAACAACCTTTCTTAATAATTTGCCTGATGCCTTGTGAATCGTAAGTATTTCTTTTCCTGCTTAGAAATAAGAACTATTTCTGGCCCTGTGTAAACTCCAAAGTATTATTCCCTCTACTCCTTTTGTGTGGTCTTTTCTCTGGATACCAGTAATTTTCTTACAAATGATATACTGATGTGCTTATTAGTGCTCAGCTAAAATCTTGAAATGGTTTTTTACAATTTTCCTGAGTTCTCTTTCTGTGTAACTTTCTATTCTTCAGCACTACTATCTTGCAAACACTAGCCACTTTGGCCTCCCTAGGCTCTGTATTCTCATCTTAGACCACTGAGTCCACCTGAGTTTTCTCTCCATGCATTTACAGGGTTGAACTTTATGTTCTTTTTTTTTTCTTATATACATTCAATTGTATTGTTTCTTAAAGATTCTTTCCACCCAGTTGCATTGTTTTGGCATCTTTGTCAAACATCAGATGACTGGGGCTGGGGTTGTGGTTCATCAGTAGAGCACTTGCCTACTAGCATGTGCGAGGCCCTGGGTTCAATCCTCAGCACTACATAAAAATAAATAAATAAAATAAAGGTATTGTGTCCAACTACAACTAAAAAAAAAATACTTTTAGGAAAAAAAAACATCAGATGACTTTAAAGGTATGGATCTGTTTCTGCGTTATCAGTTTAATCATCCTTTTAAAAATTAACTCCTAATTGGGGTCATGTTTGTTGGTTGTACAAAACCGAATATTACCTGCTATTTTTCATATACTTACTTTCATGGAACTGGTACCAAAGAAACTGTATCAACCATATAGTTTATAATTGAAAGGTTGTATAACTTATGCCCCATAATATATTGTATCCTGTGTATTACTCCTTGGTACCTATAGGCTTTATGTTTTACTACTAAATGTTCCAATGACTCAGACTTTAGTAGATAATTTTCTAGTTAATGCTTCACTAATTTTTTAAATTTTAAAATATTTTTTTCTTAGCTGTAGATGGCCACAATACCTTTATTTTATTTTATTATTTTTATGTGATGCAGGGATCAAACCCATTATGCTAGGTAAGTGCTCTACCACTGAACCACAACCCTGGCCCACTTCACTAAATTTTATTAAAATAGTTTACGCCAAATTGTTATTGTCAAAAAGTGTCCAATGATATATAAAATATAACAAATTTTACTAGAAATACTTTTTCTACTTTTAATCCACAAGCATATGTATCTTAATATTTATTCTCTGATATCTTTTGGATATAATTTTTTTTCTCCTTAAGCAATCACTTAGATAAAAGACACCAAATCTTCCAGTGCAGATTTATTATTTCTATCATTGAAAATTACTTCTTTGTATTTTTTTTTTATAGAGCATACAGTGGGAGAAGTTGTTAAAATAGAACCTAGTGGATCTCCAAGAAAAGTCTGGGGTAAAAGCCCTGCAGATTCAGTTCTGAAGATACTTGGAGAGGCAGAACTACAACTCCAGACAGAATTATTAGAAAATACAACTATTAAAAGTGGTAAGCAGAAAGTAGTTGTTTTTCTATACTAGAAGTAATATTAAAAATTGAATTGTATGCTTTAAGATGTTTCCATTTATAGTGAATTATTTGAAATGGATCATTTTTTGGTTGTAATAATATTTCACTAATATCTCTATAATGATTTAATTTTCTGGGGAATTGATATACTACATGGTAGTGTCATGAGTTTTGACTCCTGTGGCCTGAACAGGATCTAAAGATAAAAGAAATAGGAAGCTGGGCACACAGTAGTGCATGCCTGTTGGTTCAGCTACTCAGGAGGATTGTGCATTTGAGACAAGCCTGGGTAACATAGTAAGACCCTATCTTTCAAAAAAAAAAAGGAATAGAAAATTCATGGGGGAAGCTGGAAATATCAGAACAATGTTTTCTTTTTTTTTTTTGAAGATTTTTTTTTATTAGTTGTTCAAAACATTACAAAGCTCTTTTCTTTTTTTTTTTTTTAAGAGAGAGTGAGAGAGGAGAGAGAGAGAGAGAGAGAGAGAATTTTTTTAATATTTATTTTTTAGTTCTCGGCGGACACAACATCTTTGTTGGTATGTGGTGCTGAGGATCGAACCCGGGCCGCACGCATGCCAGGCGAGCGCGCTACCGCTGAGCCACATCTCCAGCCCGATTACAAAGCTCTTGACATATCATATTTCATACATTTGATTCAAACAGATTATGAACTCCCATTTTTACCCCGTATACATATTGCAGATTCACATCGGTTACACATCCACTTTTTTACATACTGTCATACTAGTGTATGTTGTATTCTGCTGCCTTTCCTATCTTTTACTATCCCCCCTCCCCTCCCCTCCCCTCCCCTCCCCTCCCATCCCCTCCCATCTTCTCTCTCTAACCAGAACAATGTTTTCCATGAAGAAAAATATAGGAGCAATTTTAAAGATGAATGGTTTATGTTTTGATGTAGATTCAGGAATTCATTTGATGAAAAGATCAGTAGTAGTAGTAGTGATAGACATTATTCTAGGAATGGGGAGGGAGAGTTATGAGGCAGAAGGAAAACCTTCATGATCTATGAGTCTTATGGGATTTGGTATTACAATTATGCATAAGGAATAGTTTCCATATATATAACAAGTGTTTTCAAATTAAACAGCTTGTCCACATGATAAGTATATTGAACGTAGTTTTCCTCTTTGGAAAAGTATGTCCAGGTGTGAGTGAGAGTGTGTGTGTGTGTGTGAATTTTTGTGCTGTTTTTCTCTGTTGATCTTTGTCTCTCCCTAAAATTTATAGTGAAACTCATTCTGAAGCTCAAGGAGATGAGGCTATTGACATGTTCTATAATGACATTAGTTAGATGCTGATAATTAGTGAAATGAGCCTATGCACATGTTACTAAAGGGGCAAAAGTAGGTTGCTATTTTCTTATTAAGGATGCATCTCTTAGCAATTAATCATTTTATTTTTTTATATTAAGGGGAAAATACTATGAATAAAGAAGGGTTAGTATAATTATTTGTTTGGCTAAAGAGCAAAAGCACAAAGTGTATAGACCTATAATTAATTTGTAATTAATTTGTTCAAACTCATCAGGAAAATGTGTAGTTGTATGCTAACACTATCAAAAACAAAAATTCTAATAATTTAATACACCTTATTCTAGCCTGATTTTCATAATGCCTCAGGTTTTATTCCAGCATACAAATGTCTCCAGGATATAAAGACTTTCTTAAATAACGATAAAAATGTCAGATCTTTTTATAGTCTAAAAGTCCTATATATGTTCATGTCCTTTAGAAATATTTCTTTTAAAATATCAGATTCTGATTTCTCATATAAATTTTTATTACTTAAATGTATATAATTTGATATACAATAAAACTTAAGCAGCATAAAATAGGGCTTTCATTCTCCATGTTCACCATAATCTATCTACAGGAATAGCTTACTATTTGTCTGACTTTTTAAAATTTAGCTCTTCAACTATTTATTGAACACTTATTAGCTATCCACACTATTATGTGTGATATGGTGAATTCACAAAGAAATAAAAATTCATATTTGAGCTCAAGAGGATAGAAAAAAAATGAAAACAAATTATAAMACTGCATGAAAAGGGCAAGAATAAAAAGGATGCACAGTGTTCAAAGGTACTTCGCAGATGTTTAAGTAAGTAACTTTATCTTGAAAAGTCAGGCTTGTTAGCTGCTCTCTTTTTTTATTTTTTCCCCAACTACATTTACTCAGAAGAATATGCTCTATACTGAGATTTTAAGACAAAAAAGTGAGAATTCTTGGCATTGTGAATATAACATGTGTCAGAGTCTGTGTTAAAATGTTATATATGACATGTTCTGGGGCCACAGAGGAAGAAACTTTACTTTAATATAGTTGGACTAACAATAATATATTGGCCCTTTTGGATTAGGAAAATCTACAGAGAAAGCAAGTTATTTTGAGCTAAGTCAAAGAAATTTTTTTAAAAGAACAAAATTTAGTGCCAGTATATGCAAAGACACAGAGGTGTGGTTAATGCATTTGTGAGAGTACCAGCTTTCTCCGCTTTGTGTGGAAAAAGTATGGGCTGTGGTTCTGATTCTGACTCTGTCAGTTGCTAAGCAGTCATGGGTAAGTTCCTTTAACATAGACATTCAGTTTCTCCCTATGTAGATTAGAAGCACTATTATCAAAGATTGTTTTTGAATTAAAAGAGAGACTGTGATGTTCTGTAGTCTTCTAATTGTTTTGTCAGTGTCTTTTGTCATTTTGAGTCTCTGAAGCTCTCTTTGTAATTGATTATGTAGGAAGGACTACTGTGAACACTATACCCCAGAGATCTTGATGTTTTGTCCCTAAGTTTGTCTTACAGCTTTGTTCTTGAAGATCATTTTGAATAAATATAAAATCCTTGACTTTTTAAAATTTATTATCTTTAATATATGACATCACTGTATTCTGGCATAAAGCATTTCGGTCAGAAAGTCCATAGACAGTATTATTTTCTTTCCTGGATAAGTGACTTAGTCTTTTTACTCAAATATTCAAAGAGTATCTTTATTTTCTTCCTAGAAAAAGTCCAACTGTTTTCTTAAAGTCCAATGTTTTCAAAAGTCCAATATTTTTATATCAGCTGTCTTTTTAAATTTTAATATACTTTTTTTAGAACAGTTTTATGTTTGCAGCAAAATTGAATAGGAAGTACAGAGATTCCTGATGAATACCCCTTTCTCCCACATATGCTCAGCCTTCCCACCATAAACATCCCACACCACAGTTGTACATTTATTACATTTGATGAGCCAATATTGACATATTTATTGTCAGAATGCATAGCTTACATTAGGATTTGCTGTTCCTGTTATACTTTCTATGGTTTTTTTGACAAATGAAGTATGCCATGTATCCACCATTATAGAATCATACAAAATAGTTTACTGCTCTAAAAGTCTTCAGTGCTCTACCTATTTATACCCCATCTCTGTCCTCTGTTGATCATTTTACTGGCTGCATAGTTTTGTCTCTTCCAGAATGTCATGTAGTTGGAATCATGCAATATGTAGCATTTTTCAGAATGGATTCTCTCAGTAATATGCCCTGAAGGTTCTTCCATAACTTTTTGTCTTATAGTTCATTTATTTATGACATTGTATGGATATGCTATTTCAACTCGTATAGGTAAATATATGAAGAAACTTGATTGTTGGATCATATGGTTAGAACATGTTCAGTTTTTTAACAAATCATGTAACTTTTCCTACCAGCAATAAGAGGTACTCTTACTTGACATTCTCTCCAATATTTGCTGTTGCCAGTATTTTGGATTTGAGGCATTTAAATTTGTGTATACTGGTATCTTATTGGTGTTTAAATCCAATTCCCTAATAATATATGATGCTGAACACCTTTTTTGTATGCTTCTTGACATATGCTTATTTGTTATTTGTTTATCTTCTTTGGTAAGTTATCTGTTTCAATTTTTTGCCATGTTTTAATTGTTAGTTTTGTTGTTGACTTTTAATAGTTCCTTGAATACTTTGGTTAACAATCACTATCTGATGTCTTTTGCAAATATATATTTTTTCCCATGTTTGTGGCTTTATATCCTCATTGTCTAATGTAGCACAAATTGTTCAATTTAGCAAACTCTACCTTAACAATTCATCCTCTTTCAGGTCATATGTTAGGTGTTGTATCTAAAATAAGTCATTGGCAAACCCAAAGTTATCTAGATTTTCTATTTCCAGCGTGGACTAAAAATTGCTGGGCCCTAGAGTTGGAAGAAATGTAAGAGAAGGAGTTTACAATGTTCAGAGTTAAACCGATCCGTGAGGGAAAAGATGATGTAAGGGAGACAATATAGGAAGCAAAAGATTACTTGAATAAAGAGAGAGATTCTGGGGGGAAAAAATACACCAAGCAGAAATCCTCAAAATGAAGGAATCAATAAACCACATGGAAAATTTATTGAAAGGCATCATCAGCACACTAAATGAATTGTGAGCCAGAGTTTCAGGCACTGAAGACACAAAATATACTCTAGAAAATAAAGTTGACCATGAAGGAAAGGTGTTAATAGACCATGAACAGAAATTCTAAGAAATATGAAATAATGTGAAAAGACCAAATTTAAGATTTATTGGGATAGATGGAAGGCCTGAAGATATAGACCAAAGGAATGCATAATCTTTTCAATGAAATAATATCTGAAAATTTCTAAAACATTAAGGATGAAATGGAAAATCAAACACAGGAGGCTTATAGGACACCAAATGTACAAAATCACAACAGACCTATACCAAGACACATTATTATGAAAATGCACAACACACAGAATAAGGGCAGAATTTTAAAGGTTGCCAGAGAAAAAATGACAGGTTACTTTTAGATGCAAAACCAATCTGATCTTATCTGTCTTCTAACCCAGTTAGGAGGTCATGGATTAACATATACCTATCTCTGCAAGAAAATGAACSTCAACCAAGAATATTATAACCCAAAATATTAAGACTCAGAACTGACAA